ACGCAGAAGCATCAGGGAGACACAACCACTACGACAGGCCCGGAGAAACAAACGCGTCACGCTCTTCTCGGGCAAACTGCAGAAATTCCGCCGCGTCCTCCTCCATCACCACCCGCATCCCGAGGTAGTTCAAGTAGAGGCGCAGCCGCAGCATCTCCTCCTCGCAGCGGCGGGCGACAATACACTTCTCCTCCACCGCCTGTGCCAGCAAGTTCCGCATACGCACGGTGCTCGGCACGTCTTTCAACACACCACTGCCCTCAGAAAACATGACGCGCCCGCTCAGATCTTCGATCCACGGCGTGCTACACCCCACGCTTCGGACTATTTGGGCAAGACACGCCGCCTCCATCCAGAGGATACTTCTACGTTCTTCGTGTTCCAGCCGTACAGTAAGGACAATGCACTTACTGCGGAGCGTTGTGCAAAGCGCGTACGTGGAGCGGAGAGGAGGCACACTCAACACTGCAGAGTGTCTTGCCCTCAAACAATCCACTATATTTTTGCTCGAGATTAACTTGCTAATCGGGCTATTCATACCAACACCAAACACGACGTTGCTGACAGATACCTCGCCAACATCGACGAAAGATCTGTAGAGCAATGACGCATCGCCGCGAAAACTATCGTCGAATTCCGCATCATCACCGCTGAAGGAGACCGTCAGTTCGTCTTCGGAGACGAATTGCACTGGAAGTGGGGAGTGTCTCGAGGCGCTGCTGGAACTACTGTTAGAGACACCGTGGGACAATCTGACAAAAGGTATGCTTCTCTGCCGGCGCACCCTTGTCAACGGCATGGTATGCTGCGCGCGTAAGAGGTTCGACTGGCCAGAGGGATCGGGCACCATATCGGTCCGCGCGCTCACGAAGGGGTCCGTCCAGCGGTGCTGCGGTGCAACCACGGCGGCGCGTAACCCACCCAGCAGCATTTCCCACCGAGTAGTGTTTTCACTTTTGTCTTCAATGCTGATGGTATGGCTTCTTTTCGACGCGATCACACTACTACTTACCAGCGGTACATCCGAAAAGAGAATCTCCTCCAATACTGCATACCTCACATGCAGAGCAATGCACTCCAGCATGTACATGCGAGCAGCCAGTTCCACACGCCTGACCTCCTTCCGATCTAAAGAATCTGGCGTCACCTTCACCGAGTTGCTGCACCCAGCACCACTGCTGCGGTTTTTAGCGGAGCCCCGAAAAAAGTGCCACCGCCACGGACGCATCACATAGAGTGAGCTCAAAGTCTTCGTGCCCGATTTGGGTAAGGTGATCACAGCGCTGAGCGCCTCGTAGCCACTGAACAAGACATTGAGGTCCGTACCGATGAGATTATCGAAGAGGACCTCAATCGTATGCGAAACTGTGTCAAACCTAAGTGCTGGGCTGCTTACATAGTCCCTAACAAGGTTCCACCTCGCAAGCTTTTCATCCATGAGGTGGTACATCTCCACTGTGTGCTCCTGCCATATACCTACCCGAGACTCCATCTCAAGCGTGTAAAGATTGTACATTAACTCATTACGAGGATGACTGAACGAAATCGAACTCTTCTTGATTTGACTCAGAGCGTTTCCATTGTCCATATTCTCTGTTTTCTTTTGGATTTTGGGAAGAAGCCCTTTGGCCGATACTTCCTGCACAGGCTCCCCCAAGCGCACCAAGGGCTTTCGTGCTTCCTGCCCCACCAGTGACGATGGGCACCCCCGTCGCAGCAACAGCATATTCCGTGCATTGCCCTCCTGGCTTTCCCCCCGTTCTGGCGCTATGCTGCGGATGCCGCCATTTGTCTCAATGTACGGAAATGGACGATTCAGGACCGCGCCTCCTGGCGTTGGGGAGCCTCTCACTTTGTCCATCAACGGGGACACGACCTTCGTGGAGTCTGTGACGTACACATGCCGCGGCGGCGCCGCCCCATTGATCCGCAGCCCCGTCCAATCTTTTCGGCTTAGAGAGTCGTGCTGCGTGGGCGCCCTGTTTACCCTCGTATCAACCGGCATTTCGGTTGGCATGAGTGCAATTGTGAGGGACGTGCAGCAGCCGAATGCCGGAAGCACCAGATATCACAGCACGTGCCCCACACGCGCACACAAAACGAACAGCTGCGGAACAGGGAGGAATAGGGAGGGGGGGAGGGGGAAATGAAACACCACCAACCGTAGAATGATCCCCTTGTTACACTAACCTGTTTATTTATAGAGTTCAAAACAGCGAAACAGAGTGAAGAGACAGCCTCCGTTGTGTACTTCCCTTTTTCTTTTTATATATTCCCCTCCGCCTTCGTACGGCTGCAGACGTGATAGGGCCTTGGTCGAGTAAGACTAAGCTCTGCCGCGCTACAACGTCGAACAAGAAGAAGAAAGCCAAAGGGGAAAACAAATAAAAAGAGAGAGAGAGAGAGATATCGAATGACTGAGTGTGAAGCATGCACATATTTGAAGACACATTGGACGCACACGCAAGGCTTTTCCAGCTTTGTCTCCTCTTATTCGCCTTTGGCGTGCATGCGTGGCCGTGTTGCAAGCCGCAGCCGTTCGTGACCGTACCTTCTAGGGGCGGAGAGAAAGAGAGACAAGGATGTAAGAAAGAAGAGAAAGAAACAAAGACTAATGACGCCAAAGGATGAAAGACACACAAAAAAAAGGTGTGGGGAGGGGGGGGGGAGAGAGAGAGAACACGCAGTCGCCGCTACACCTTGTTCGTCCAGTCACCCATCCACTCACAGACGGGAGGACTGTCTTAAAAAACCACACCGCTCCGTCAACTCCCACACGGCCACTCGCGTAGTCTGGCAAGCAGCAGCACCCACTGCTCGCATCTTCGCCTCATGCAGCTTCGAATCCACTGCCGTCGAACTGCCTTCCTCAGAATCGAGGAGTGCCGCATAGGAGACTGCAGTCCACGGCGGTGACGTATGCATACCTGCGTCAACGGGCCTGTATTGCCGCTGCTGTGGCCCACCGTCAAGCGGAGGAGAAGATGGGAGCGTCCATCGCGTGCTGCCGTTGCTGAACCGCCGTCGTCGCGTCCGTCGCAATGCGTAAAACGATGATGATGAATCCATCATGTATTGATCGCGACGAGACAGTTCAACAACAGCCCGAACTAGCGGCGCATTGTACTTTGCGATGAAACAAAGAACAACTAGATCGTACAGCTCATGCAGGCAATTTTGCACAATGGATGCCAGCGGTGGTGTGAATGGGATACCGTGGATGGATGGGCGTGCGGTGATGCCGTCCGTGTCATACGGCTGCAGCGACCACAGCGCGACGTGAAGCTCCCCCGCAATCGCCTCGACCACGTCCGCCTTGAACTTTGTGGACCTCGCCGCCTTCGCCTCTGTGCTCCTCACAATGTCATCGAGGCGGAGCGCGGTGTAGACGGCATCCAGGTGCTGGTTGCTCTCCAGCACTGTGCGGAAGGCGTCGATGGCTGAGATGTTCGGCGGCGTGCGCCAGTCAACCTCTGGGAAGAGCAGCAGCAGCCGGTGGCAGATGGTGTGGCCCCAGTTGTGGTCGCCAATGCACTCCAACCGCTGGAAGCCGGCGTCACGCTGGAAGCCGTGGGAATCTGCCCCACCCCCACGCGGCGCTGCCAGGCCCAAGACCCCGAGCTGCGTTAATACGTGCAGCTTGTCGCGCAGCCGCGATGCCCGGAGGCCAACAACATGGCCCCAGAATGACTCTGTCGCCACACTGCAGGGAATCTTCGTACTGACGCCATGCTGATCCGACAGAACTTTATCACATTCATCCGAGACTTCAGGATGGGAGGTAAAGCTACGCCTCCTGCTACTGTCTTCACTGCAAGAACAGCCCCCACCACGCAGCGCTTGCTCAGATCGCCGGAGTTCGTCAAGAAAGAAACTGCGCGCTGCCTCCGGTGAGACGCCCACTGCGCCGCTGGCATGTTTCTTCGCTCTCTGCAAAAGCAGCCACATGATTGTCTCCAATGTCTGATGCAGCGGCAACCCGGCATGTGCCGACCCGCGCATCGTCACACCACCGCACAGCCGACACTCTTTGGCGTCGGACGAGGAAAAAAAGAACTCATCAAAGTCGCGTGCGGCGAATTGCGGGACGGGAATTCCATTGCGGTCCATGTCTCCGTGTGTGGCCCAGCCGCCACTGCTGTTGCTGCATGTCTTCTTCAACTGTGCTTCGGCCACTTGAGCGACTCTCTGCCGCACCACACGTGTGAGCCACAGCATCCGCGAAAACCGGCTCTGTAAATATAAGAGACAAGAGATGCCTACGCATGCATTTAAGAAAACATGAACGGCGCCTCGTGCGTCTGTTGTATTCCTGCTGAACTGATCCCACACACTCTTCTTCACTCCTTCTTTCACAGCGTCGCTCAGCTGTTGCTGTTTCTTCCCCTTCCAGGCCCCACAGCAATAACGAAGAGCACACACGCAGAAAAAAACAACAACAGAAAACATCTTTTTTTTTCCTTTCTCACGCACCGGAGACGCGCATGGAGTGCGCGTGGCATCCTATTGACACGTTTTCAACAGAATCACCACACCGGAAGTGATCACCGAACACAAAGTAAATGCAACCAAGAGAGTAGAACGATACAGAACAACGCCACACACACACACAGTGAACGGAGCACCTCATCCACGCATGCATTCGGTTTGCTCCCTTATAAAATATTCCTTTCTCCTCCTCCTCCTGGGATCAATATTCCTTGTCAGCTTTCCCTTCATGCGCAGATACCCTTACAGCCCCCCTCTCCTCTGCACATGTGCCAGCTCGCTGTTGCTGTTTGCTACCGATACTGTTGCTGTTGTGGATCAGCCACGCGGTCCATACCGATCACTTGTATTTTGTGTGGGTGAGTGTCCCACCGCCGCACTGGGCGCCCGTCGCCGCAACAGCAACTCCGCCGCGAGCCGCTCATAGTCCACCTCCTCCTGGCGTAGCTTCTGTCTGTATCGGAATACACTGACCTCCTTGTCGAGCAACTTCTGCTCCTCCTCTCGCTGCTCGGGATCAGCAGCGCGCCGCAACTCATCTGCTTCATTCTGCAAACAGGCCTTCTTCTCCTGCTCTCGCATCAGCTGCCTCTGCACCGCGCCTAGGCGTTCCTCCAGCGCTTTCTTCTGCGCGTGGAGCTCATCCACGGCGGTGGTGGTGGCACGCCACTCCTGCTCCACAACTCTCTGCCGCTCGTGGTTGTTCAGCCGCGAGTAGGCAACGCTAATCGTCTGCACAAAGTCCCGTGCGTAGGCGTGAAAGTCCTGAAAAGACATGATCGGCTCCCCGCGTTTATCCTTGGCGAAGAAGCGGTGTATATCCTCCACGACATCTGGAGGGAAGCGAATCTGGGAGGCATGAAAGATGCTCTGAAAATCTCGCACCGTCAAATATCCCCTCTGCGTCTGGTCACCGATGCCGAAGACAGCGTCCACCTGCTCCTGCACGACCCGCTCCCTGCTTCCAGCCACAGCGCTGTGCGCACGCTCTACTGTTGGCACAAGCGCGCCGCCACTCGGCAGTTCGCCGTGCCTCTCTATGCGTCGCTCCGGTGAGGTGGTGGCAGCGTTGCCCCTGCTAGTGCCGCTCTCGCCACCACGCAGTCCTCCTTCAGCTGCTGAAGAAGGCATCTGCCTAATCATGATCGGTGGCGACTGCGAGTCATTGTTTCCCATAGAGCGCCTCCTAATGCCGCGTTGAGACTCCGTGTCGGCTGCCGCCTCAGCAGCAGCATTTGGAGCCCGGAAGTACGGGCTTCTGCGCGGCGCTGGAACCTCGCGCTGTGCCGATATATCCGCCCTTGTGGGGTTTTTGCGAAACACGTACAACTGATCGTACGCACACAAGCTGTGCGTGTCGCGTAGATCCGACCACGACTGAGTGTCCTCCTCGTACCGCTGCAGGCGGCTTACAGTGAAAGGCTCGGAAGGGCGCGTTGCCTTCTCTGCCGCCACCTGCTTCATGGCGCTTTCCTCACCTTGTAGCACCTGCTCGAGCGTGCGCTGTAACTCCCCAATGGAGGTAGGCCGCTCATCGAGGGGGAGCTCCACGTTGATCTTCTCTCCACGGATGTCGGTGCACGCCAACAGGACGAAGACCATGCTTTGACGGAGGGCCTAGCCGCTGCTGCTGCTGCTGCGTTTCGTCCGACCACAAAAGTAATGCACGCGCGGCAGGAAGGGAAAAAACGGATTTAAAAACACGCACAGAGGAGGAAAGAAAGGGATGGGGGATGAGAGATAGAGAGAGAGAAAAGGGCGAGCCAAGAGAAACTGCCGCGCACCACACACGAGAATCGAGATATGCAGAGAGCTGCTGTTTTGTCGCCTTAGTCCCACAAGTATTGCCTTTTTTTTGTTTCTGGTCCCCTTTCTTTTCTTCTATGATTGTAGAGTCCTGAGAGTGCAAGATGTCTGTGCGGGGAGAAGAGAAAAAGAGAGAAATGACTCTGGGAGGAAGCGGCAAGAGCGGCGCCATCAGTGCGACCCTCCTTTTGTTTGTAGGCACGTGAAAAATATCACCAACAACGCAGCAGCGAGCATGTCGTTTGGTTTTTTTTTCTCATGCATAAATGTGAAGGCTTGTCCCCCTCGCACCTCCGCGGCAAGCATGCCGTGCGGCCGCTCGGGTATATGTGTGTGTGTGTGTCTCTGCCTGTGTGGATTGTGCGCCTAGCGGTTGGACACTTCCCACGTGTGGGCGCCTCGCCTGCTCCCCTCCCCTGCCGCCACACACACACACACACACACACACACCGACAGAGACACACATGGAATTCTAGTGGTGCAACGCTTCTCCTCTTCACATTTACGTCGGGGACGTTAATTACACCATTTTTTTTTCCTTTTTGTTGTTTGTTTGTTCTCCCCCCTCCCACTCTCTCTCTTTCTCGTTTTGCACAATTTTAATTGCGCGGAGAAAGGCTATATTTCCTCGATTCCGGTGCTGCCTGCCTCACAAAACACCCTGCACAGCTACACGCCCTTGGGATGCAGAAACACACAGGCACACACACACACACATACATACAAACGTTTTTTTTGTCTTGTTCTTCTCTTCTATGCTGGTGCTATGATGCGGACCAGACATCCTTCAAGTAGCGCTCCTCCTTGTCGAGCTTTGTAAGGTACGCGGTCGCCTCTTGCTCGCTCATAGACCCCTCTTGCTGAAGCGCCTCCAACAGAGCCTTCTCCACGTCCTTCGCCATGTGCTTGGCATCGCCGCAGAGGTACAGGTTCCCACCGTCACGGAGGATTTCCCACACCTCACGCGCACGTGCCTTGACACGGTGCTGCACGTAGACCTTCTCGGCCTGCTCGCGGCTGTAGGCAACGTCAAGCACCGTTAGCGTGCCCTTCTCCACGCACTCCGTCATGAAATCAGCGTAGATGTGATCCTCCTCCTTCTTCCTGCAGCCAAAGAAGAGTATCGCTTTCCCCAGATCATTGCCCTTCGCCTTCCACACATTGCGGCGGTGCAGAAAGCCGATGAGAGGCGCTACACCAGTGCCGGGCCCAATCATCACGATCGGACGCTCCTTTGCGCGGAGCGGGAGGTGAAACTTTGATTTACGCACAAATACAGGAATCTTCTGGCCGACCTGCGCGCTCTGCAGCATACCCGTGCAGAGGCCACCTTCCACAAGAGCCACCGTGATATTCAACTGCTTCGGGTGGGAGAGCAGATCGGATGAGATAGAGAAGTAACGTGGGGCGATGCGCGGCATCATTTCAAGGAAAAATTCTGGTGGAACTGACGCGGATTTAAACTTCCGAAGGAATCCATGCATGTTACGTAACTTTGCTGCAAGTTTTGTAAACTCCTTCACTGCCTCAGGCTCCACGCGCAGGAGCTTCAGAAGTGCCTCCTTCTCCATGGGGTCAGTGCAGCAGTGGGCAAAGGCGCGCAAAGTCGATTTCTTCGGTGGCCCAGCAAGGTCAATGTACCACGTGAGCGCCGTCCGTACCGTCACACGTGCTGGGAAAACATTTTTTCCTGTCTTCTTATCTTGCAACGAAAAGACGTGACAGGCCTCCTCGTTGCTTATTCCCAGCACCTGTAAATAGGCCTCCACCATCGCATCGGTGTTGCGCGGGAGGACACCAAGGTGATCGCCACCCTGGTACGAGATGATCGTGCCCTCGAGGCCGAACTCAATGCAGCGTGTGCCGCGCCCAACGCTGTTGCGCAGCAGCTCCGTGTTCGCCGTGACCGGCACCCACGCGGGCAGCCGCTGCGTCGGCTCCAGCACCGACGCAAGCTTCGGGAACGGGAGTGGCGCCTCCTCCGCGGCGTCCCACACCTTAAGTCGGCACTCCGGTTCCACCGGCTCCTCCGTGTGCTGCCGCAGCTCAATGCCAAGCACGCGGCCCACAGCCGGCCACAAATCGCGGTGCCACTCGTCGAACTCCTCTTCAATGTTCTGCCCGGCGTCGCCGCAGCCAAGGCCGTAGATGCGCTGCGCCCCCAACTCCGCCATGCGGCGGTCCACCACAACGCTCTCCTCGCAGAAGTAGCGGTACTGCCGGTCCCCGAGCCCGAAGACGGTGTACTTCACCTCCCGCAGTTCCTCGCCTGGCGAGCGCATGTCATCCACGAGCCAGTCGTGGAACGTCTTCATGGAGTCCGTCGGCTCACCCTCGCCATACGTCGCGCAGACAAGAATAACGAGCCGCTCGTACTCGAGATTGTGCGGCTCGTAGTTCTCCANCGCCATACGTCGCGCAGACAAGAATAACGAGCCGCTCGTACTCGAGATTGTGCGGCTCGTAGTTCTCCACGTCGTATATCTTGACGGGTACACCCAGACGTGTACCTTCACGCACGAGCGTCTTGGCGAACATCTCTGCAGTTCCTGTCTGGGAGGCGAAGAGAACGCTTACCTCCTTCCGGTCCTGCGACGCTGCTGCTGCTGCTGCTGAGGGCCCGGCACTCCTCGTCTGCGGTGCCACGTTTGAGTGGCCACCGCCGCCGAAGAGGCCCATGAGCCACGCCACGCCAACAGCGATGCTGACGGTGAACAGAAGGTACAGCAGCATGTTGGATTGCGCCAAGCACAAAGGATTTTACGACACACGAAAAAAAAAGAGGTATTGACTTACGTAATAGAGATCTAGTTGATATTGCTTGACTCGGGTACAACGAAATTAAAAAAAAATTGTTTCATTGATTAAAAGAGGGGGAAAAAAAAAAAGATGGCTCCGTGGAAGCAGTTGCCAACGCCGTCGCTGCAGCAGCAAAGCTGCAGTTGACAGCGGCATGTTGCGGAGTGTTTTGTTGAGTGTGGTTCCTCGGTGAGATGATGACGTCGTGTGAAATACACTTTGATTGAAAAAGGCGGGGAGATACAACTCAAAAAAAAAAGCAAGGGGAAGCAAGACAGATGCTCACCACTAAACTCAATGCACCTTCTCTCACAAACATATAACACAAAAATGTTTCACAACTCACCGTTTCGTTTCACTTCATTGCGTGCCGTCGGGAGCATTAGTGGCGACGGGGACAGCGTCATGCGGCCTCGCAAGGATGCGTACAGGACGTGGCTGGTTCCTTCCGCTAAAGCCCCGCTTCTTGTGGTCCATCCGCTCGCGGTGGCGTCCCTCCCCTTGCTGTTGGCCTCCATCAGCTCTAGTTGTGGCATGGTCTGACGCTGGAAGCGGCTTCCCTTCGTCGCACGGATCGACATGGATTCTCCCTCGGGCGGAAGTGTTATTGCCTCCGTCAGCAGCCGTATCCGTTGCTGTTGTCACCGCAACGGCCTGCCGAACCTCGACTCCGCTCCGCTTCTTTTCACGCCTAACCTTCTGCTTTTGCTTTTGCCTTTGCTTCCACAACTNTGCCGAACCTCGACTCCGCTCCGCTTCTTTTCACGCCTAACCTTCTGCTTTTGCTTTTGCCTTTGCTTCCACAACTGCTTCTGCTCCTCTCGCGGATCGCCCTCGTCCTCATGTCGCTTTTGTTCCTGCTCCTCCTTCTGGTCTTCTTTCTGGGATCTTCGCTCACGCGCACGCTGCCGCCGCTGCTGCTGCTGATACCTCCTCTTCTGCTTTTCCGCCGCGCTCCGGTTGCCCGCCTCCCCACACACTTCACCATCGGCCTGAGAGGGCCCTTTCGGCCTGCGAGGAGCATTTTCAGTCGTCGTCTCCGCCCTGTGTTCGGCTTCGTCGTGCGCCTTCAACCCCTCCACACGGTTCTTCTGCCACCGCTCCACCTTGAGTTCCCGCCTTGACTTGTGGTGCGACTTCTTCGCTTTCACTTCCGCCCCGGCCTTACCTTTTGCACCAACTGACCCAACCCCCTCACCATCTTTCTCTGCTTTGTGCCTTCGTGTCTTGTGCACCGTCCTCTGCTTGACCTTCGTANCGCTCTTCTGCCGGGGCTGTACCCCCCTTAGCAGCGCCCTCTCTCCGTTTAAGCAGCACCTTCCGCTCTGTTTTCTTGGCATCCTTCGTTTTTTCCTTCTTCTTCCTCCGCTCATCCCATCTGTTGAGAAGCTGCCGCACGAGGAGAGACACCGGAGCGGGCTCCGTCTCCACCTCCGCGGTGTCCCTCGCCTGCGGCGGCGATGCGTCGATATGGTCGAGTCCTGCGCAGAAGCGTTTGTAGTCCTCGTCATCCTCGATGGTGCCGGGGCGACACCCCCACGCCGCACTGCCGCGTTTGACGTTGGTGGAGCTAAGATACACCGGTGACCGCTCCACTGAAGAAACTTTTGCAGCAGCCGCATCATCATCACCCTCACTGAAGACGGCATGACCGTCGAAAATGCCCATCACCGCCTGAATGACTTGTTCGCTTGTTGCGGTATCACTGCCGTGCTGCACAGACTGCACCGCAACGACCGCCGTGGCTGGAACAAGTGGGCACCTATCATGAGGCGGATATCCACGAAGAACCGAGACGTCCACGATGCCGTCAACCACGGTAGCTCCGCACCGATCGCGTACAACATCCATCAAAGCCTCTGCGGTGATGTCGTGCGGGAGGTGGCGAATGAGGAGGCGCACAGAGTGCTGGCTGGTCTTCAGTATTGCCATAAGTGTGTGGCCCTACAACAACAGCAGCAGCAGCAGCAGTGGAAGGTATAGGCAAAAGAGTGGTGCGATGGCAACAAAGCGGTGAACACAGAACCGCACGCCCGTGCAGTAGTCCTTGCCCCCCGACTCCCTCCTTTTCTCGATTTCTGGATCTCTGGATCTACTTTAAATCCTCCACCACATTAAAAGAACGGGAAGGATTGATAGAAAAAGACTGAAACGACGCGCCCAGAAGCACACACATTCCACAATTATACACACACACACACACAGAGAGAGAGAGAGAGAGAGCCAGAGTTACGGTGCAAAACGCATACCACCAATTTCATCACCCACCACAAACAAACCCTCCGCGTCTGTGCCAGGTAAATCAGCAAGAGCATCCATTTCCTCGTACCGCTGTGAATACGCCGCAATGTGAGGAGGTGCCACGGCACTTCGTGAAGAAGTAGTAGGTGGTGATGCCATTCCACTGACACTCTGGCCAAGTATAGTGATACCACGTGCCCTTCTATCCTCTTCTGCCACGGTGTGGAAACATGATTCCACGTTGTTGTCAACAGTGCTGCCAGCACTCACCGTTGCCGTTGCACACCCCTTGAGAGATGGCGATGCACCACCCTGATCCGGCTCGCATAAAAGGGGCAGTAACTCCGCAGGGTACAACCACCCATCGCGCTCCACTACTTCTGGTTGTTTTTCCTTCGGCACGGAAGGACAACGGCGACGTTTTTTCAACGGTGACTCCCTCCAATGGCTGCTGCTTTTGCTGTCGTCTTCATCCTCGGAACATAAACTGCTCTCGCTTGTTGTTAGTTCGCTGCTACCTGCGCGTAGCGAAGGCCAGCTCGAGAGTGTAGAGGACGTTGAACTGGTTGTCGCATCATCGTTCTCACTGTCGGAAAGAACTACGACACCGGCAGTAGGACCCTTCTCAGGCAAAGACTCTTCATCATCCAACAGCAACTTGAATCCGACAGGGGCTGGCAGTGACGGTGGTGCTGAGCGGCTCACCGTTGTTGACGTTACCGCAGAAGGCCCTGACTCAACTTCTGCACGGGCACGCTTTCGGCTTGCCACACCTCTTCTTCCCATCGTTTCCGTAGCAACGGAAGGAAGCGGAGCTGAAGAAGAAAGCGATGATAGTACATCCTTTATTTTTCCCCAGATCACGTGAGCGGTTTTACCTGTGAATGTCTTGCCGTTGTAATGCAGCCGACGGCGGCCCTTCACGGTGGACCAACTGTGTGCGTANAGAGTGAGCGGTTTTACCTGTGAATGTCTTGCCGTTGTAATGCAGCCGACGGCGGCCCTTCACGGTGGACCAACTGTGTGCGTATGGCTGTCCGTCTGACCGCAACTGAAAGCTATCCATTGCCGCCTCTCCACGGCGTGCCCCTCTCCTCGTGCCGGTAGTGCGCCTACTTCCAACACGCCCCCTGCCCTTAGTGCGCCGGTTACCAGTACGACTCCCACTGATCGTGCGTCTGTTGGTAGCCTCGCCCGCACGCTGGGGAGCCGGATGCCCTCTCGTTGCACGGCCATATGCGCGTCCTCCTCCCCCTCCTCTGCCTCTTGCAGAAGCACTACTGAGTGGCGGGGGGATCNGATGCCCTCTCGTTGCACGGCCATATGCGCGTCCTCCTCCCCCTCCTCTGCCTCTTGCAGAAGCACTACTGAGTGGCGGGTGCATCTCTGCAGTGCTGTTGCTACTGATCCCAAGCGCCTGCCATGATACAGCTGGAAGGGTGCCCGTTTTCCCTTTAGACGCACGACCAGGCCGCCCTTCAGTATGCGTCGCAGTAAACGGCAGAACACCACCAACTTTCTGCAACTCACTCACTCTAACAATGGCACCGCCGTACCGCCGCGGCACAGCAGCACCACTCCCATGCGCGTCCTCTACCACTCCACGCGTTGAATTCGCGGCCAGAGGAGGCGGTCCCTGCGCGACACACGGCGACCTCTCAGCACTCACAACTCTAGAACCGGTATTCGTCGCAGGCGTGTCCTCCTGGCGCAGTACCACACGAAACTTACTCGACGGTTTCACAACGGACGGCGCCGACATTGCCAGCCACTACGCAGTGCAGCCCCCAAAGCGTGAGTGTACCGCAGAAAGAACAAAGAAAAAAAAACAAGACTACTGGTGAGTTGCGGAGAGAGCACAGAGATAGCCACCACTCACCACCCAGTAAAGCGCAGTACATCACCCCCTCGACTCAGAGAAGTGAATGCAGCACGGCCAACCCCCCCCCCNGCACACGCGCCCCCCCCCCCCCCCCCCCAAAAAAAAAAGGCGAAACAAAACCACCTCTTACCACACAAGACCGAGGGAATCATTGCACAGTTCCCCTCCTCCAGATTCTCCTCAGCTCCGCGGCCGCCCCCAATCAAGCAGCTGGCCGTCGTGAAGCTGCCACTCCCTGTCGCCACCACCGCAGCAAGGCCACTTGGAAATTCGCATGAGACCGACATGCAGAAACGTAACACCAGAAACCGTGCACGCCATCCGTACCACAGCAGGCTAAGGTTAACAACATCACTGGTACTCACTCTCCATCTCCCTCTTTACGACTTTTCCTCGTCGCTACTGGACCTAAGAAACCAAAGAGAACAAGAACAAGAAGCAACCGCAAAAGAAAAAAAAAGGAAGGATGAATCATAACGAACAGCTTCTGTAGTCAGGCAGCCCATCTCTGTCCCAACATGACAACGGACAGGCATAACTTAACAAAACAAAATATACGTGCACATCAATAGTTATGACTACTCCTCAACTCATTTCGTATCGTGTTTCTCTAAAATTCCCGACGCTGCCACAACCACGCCATTCTGCGCTAGGTGTAAACCGAAGCGATCATGGTGAATCACATCAGGCAGGAAACAAAGACATAGTATTCCGAAGCAGCTTGGGATGCACAAGCAAGAGAAAACGTCGCGCGCACAATGCAAAAAGTAGCATTTGAGTGAGTCCTTGTCAAATACAATAATTTTCCTTGTTTTTGTTGTTTTCATATTCTTTTCAATAGAAAAAACCGTGATAAAACACATCCATGCTGGTAGGCATGTGTGTGTGTACGTGCACTCCCTAGAGATCGTCCATCGGCTCCGGGTGCTCTTCCGCACCGGCGCCACCGTCGCCGCCACCGGCCTGGTACGCCTTCTGGATGATGGGGTTCGTCACGCTCTGCAGCTTCTCGCGCGCCTCGTCGTACTCCTCCTTCTCCGCGTTGGGGTTCTCGTCAAGGAATTGAATTGCCTCCTTCACGGCGGCCTCCACCGCGCTCTTGTCGTCCGCGCTCAGCTTGCTGCCAAGCTTCTCCTTATCGTTCACCTGGTTGCGCAGCGAGTAGGCGATGCTCTCCAGGGAGTTGCGCGCGTCAACGCGCTCGCGCAGCTTGCGGTCTTCATCCTCAAACTCCGCGGCCTCACGCACCATGCGCTCGATCTCCTCCTCGCTCAACCGGCCCTTGTCGTTCGTGATGGTGATCTCCTCCTTCTTGCCCGACGACTTGTCCACTGCGCTCACCTGCAGGATGCTGTTCTCGTCCACGTCGAATGCCACCTCAATCTGCGGCACGCCGCGCGCCGCTGGCGGGATGCCGGACAGCTCGAACTTGCCAAGCAGGCGGTTGTCCTTTGTCATCTGCCGCTCGCCCTCGAAGACCTGAATCAGCACGCCCGGCTGGTTGTCCTGGTACGTGGAGAAGACTTGGCTCTTCTTGGTTGGGATCTGCGTGTTGCGCTCAATCAGCTTCGTCATGACGCCGCCCACCGTCTCGATGCCGAGTGACAGCGGGATGACGTCCACCAGCACCACGCGACCGCCCACTTCGCTCTCGCCGGTCAGCACCGCCGCCTGAACCGCGGCGCCGTACGCCACCGCCTCGTCGGGGTTGATGCCGCGGTTCGGCTCCTTGCCGCCGAAGAAGTCGCGGATCAGCTGCTGCACCTTCGGCACACGCGTGGAGCCGCCAACCAGCACAATCTCGTCAATGTCGCTCTTCTTCAGCTTCGCATCCTCCAACACGCGCTGCACAGGCACCAGCGTCCCCTTGAAGAGATCAATGTTCAGCTCCTCGAACTTCGCGCGCGTGATCTTCTCGCTGAAGTCGAAGCCCTCCGTCAGGCTGTCCACCTCCACGCGCGCCTCAGGGTGCGACGACAACTGCCGCTTCGCCGCTTCACACGACTTGCGCAGCCGCGCCAGAGCCTTCTGGTCCTTGGACACATCCACGTTCTTCTTCTTCTTCAGCATGTCCACGAAGTAGCGCATCATGTTGTTGTCGAAATCCTCACCGCCAAGGTGCGTGTCACCGTTCGTTGCCACAACCTCAAAGAAGCCCTCGTCAATTGTCAGAAGCGACACATCGAAGGTACCACCACCGAGGTCGAACACAAGAATGTTCTTCTCGCCGGCCTTGTTCAGCCCGTACGCGATGGCGGCGGCCGTCGGCTCGTTGATGATACGCACGACATTCAACCCCGCAATCGTACCAGCGTCTTTGGTCGACTGCCGCTGTGCGTCGTTGAAGTACGCGGGCACCGTCACAACGGCATTCTTCACCTTCTCACCAAGGTAGGTCTCCGCAATCTCCTTCATCTTCTGCAGCACCATCGCGCTCACCTCCTCCGGCGTGAACTGCTTCTTCTTGCCGCCAACCTCCACCTGCACCTTCGGCTTTCCGTCCTTGTCAGAGATCACCTCGTACGACAGAAGCTTCTTGTCCTTCTGCACCGTGGCATCGCTGTACTTCCGACCAATAAGGCGCTTGATCGCGTAGATGGTGTTTTGCGGGTTCTGCGGCAGCTGGTTCTTGGCGCCGTCGCCGATGAGGCGCTCCGTTTCAGTGAATGCCACCACGGACGGCGTGATACGGTTGCCCATCTCGTTCGGGATAACATGAACATCACCCTTCTGCCACACGCCGACAACTGAGTACGTCGTGCCAAGATCGATGCCGACGCACGGAGCCTCCACCTTCCCGGTGCCGTCCGGGGCGGCCAGCGCCACCGCCACCGCCGTAGCGAGAACTAACAGCACTGCCGCCAGCGGCCGCGCCATTCTTAACCTCAGCTGGATTGTGTGAATGTACGTTTACGCTTTTTTTTCCTTATATCTGGGTGCCACACGTGAAGAGAAGAAAGACAAAGGGAGACTCATAGGAAAATCCATTCACATTGAAACAAAAGATAAAAACAAAACAAAAAGAACAAACGATGAGCACACTCTTGTTCGTCGCGCCGGTGACGTACATAACACGATCAATGATCGCTCTGTAATACATAGTGCAAAAAAGGGAATGCATAATCGCTTTTTTTTTCCTTCTTTGGTTGCTGTCCATTCTCTTAGAGGAGAGAGGAACGAGTCTCATTCCCTGTAAAGTGATCACAACCCCCCCCCCCCCNCCCCCCCCCCCCACACTACCACTCCCGCTTGATGAGGGAACTCTTTAATGGCAATGTCATTCCGTGCGGCGGTGCCTCATCCTCCGTGTAGTGGCGTCCGGTACGCAGCTGGTAGTGTGTTGTGCTCTCGTATAGTGGGGCCATGCGCAGGTACGTGTTGTCCACCGCCTTGGGTGCCGCCCACGGCTCAGTGACGGTACCATTGTACTCTGATCCACCCGTCGGGGGAATGCGCTCCGTGTGGTTGCCTGGATGAAGAATGCGACGCTCAGGGTTCGCAGTATCAAGCGGAAGTCCCTCACGGATAAGTTCCTCCGCTGAATACGGTACCTTGCTGCCGTTAAAATCCGAGACAGCGTCACCATGTGTGTCGTTGAGCGCTGGGGAATAGGAAGCAGACTGACCGTTAGAACCACCGCTGCCCCCAGTAGCATACATTGCACCATCTGCAACGGCTGCATGTGCAGCACTGCCGCCCTGCATATTGCCGCTATCACCACTAGCATTCCCCGCGCCACCTGCGCCTTGCGCCGCACTGGCCATGGCCCCGTTGCGGCCACTGTAGTCTCCGCTTTCGGCAATTCCAGCGGCGCCCTCTCCGTGTGCGTATTTTCCCCCTGTGCCCTGCTGCATGCCATGCGGCCCTCTGTTGGCGGTGCTGTAGCGCGACTTGCCGAACAAGTCGGGCATGTCGGGCCGCTTCGGATTGCCAAAGGGGTCAATGGTGTCGGATGGTTTCATGGAGGTGCATGCGCTCCGGGAGCGGAACGTGCCACCCGGCACAGGGTTGAGCCAGTAGGCGCCACCGTGGTTAATGAAAACATCACGCTCTGCAGCACTGGTTTGCGAGGCTGGAACAAAAGCCATGGCGCTGCTCCCACTACAACAGAAGAAGGCGTATGGAAGACAAGAGGAGAAGCAACGGAATATCTGAACAACTGAATGAAAGGAAAGAGCGCGAGTACACTGAACGGCACACTGAAACTCACTACACCAGCAATGAATCAATAAAGGCACCTCACACAGAGAGGCGCATACACCAGTTGTGCTCCCAACAGCTTCTCACCAAAAAGAAAACCATCACCTGCCACTAATTGCCCAGTCACTGCTTCTTCTTTGGGCCTTTCTTTTGCCGCTGCGCAGCTAACTCTTCTCTTCGGCGATCCAATCGCGCCTTTGCATCATCCGAACCGATATGCTTCCGCTGACGTCGCACTTCAGCTGCATCTGCAGTTGCCTGACGCTGCGAGGCATTCTTTGCAGCATCGCCACACCCATGCACCTCTGGAAGGAGATGTGATGTGCACATCCGCTTGCCACAGTACTCACAAGCCGGCAACACCATATACGTCTGGTTTGAGCATCCTTTAAAGCCGCAGGTGGTACTCATTTTTTTTTTTCGTTCCTGCGGGCCTACAACACACGCTATACTCCCAACAATAAAAAGGGTTTTGCTATCAGGAACAAGGGATAAAACAAAAAGGGTAATAGCGGCACAGATAGGATCACTCCACTCAATTGCTCTGTTTGACAAACCGCGACCATCACAATGATCGATTCACGGTTCATTCCTGAATCATTCAGCTTCACTACGCGGCACGAGTACTTCCGTAAGACAAGGACCATCCACATCGTTGCATGAGTTATGCAAGTGTGATCTCTTTTTTTCGTAACCAATACAATCACACCGCTAGTTATTACTCGGCACCGCAGAGAGCCCCATATCTATTAGCCTGGTTGTTCATCAGCAGCGCAATGATAAGACCGTAAAGGCCCAGGGCCTCTGAGAAAATCAGCATGAGTACCATCGCCACAAACACCTGGTCCTGTTTGCCGTACGCCCGCACTGCAGTATCACCAACGACGCCAATGGAGAGACCTGCTGCCAAAGCGGCAAGTCCCGCCGCCAGCCCCGCGCCGAGGTGCATATTCCCCGCGAAGGTCGAGTAGGTGTACGGCTCGGTCTTGATGTTGTTGTTGATGATGACCGCCACAATGAGACCGTATATACCGAGGATGCCCGCCATGACGACTGGGACGATGCCGCGCATAATCTTTTCCGGTGCCGACAGGCCCAGATGCGCCACACCAACACCAGCCTTGGCGGCGCCGTACGCAGATCCAAGATTTGCAAAAACGAGTGCAACAGTTGCACCGAGCGCGCCAAAGAAACCTGCACTCTGCGGATACATTCGCATCAAGCACGCCTCGCGCTTGGTTGCCGCAAGCACACCAAGAGCGGAAAGGGCGCAGACGCTGACAACAACGCAAAGCGTACGTAACAAAGAGAAACTCATTGCCTTAAACCTTATCGCAGAGCGAGAATACAACCTACAGAAAGACTATGAAGAAGAGGCACCCACTGACCTCATCACAGGCACACCAAGAGGGATTCACAATGCCTCCCCAAGAACACTTCAACAAACTCTGGGTCAGCAAGCACCCCCTTTCCAACGAAAAACAAAGCATGACCCACAAGATACAACAGATCCGGCGCGGCGCCGCCACACACCACCACCACCACCACCACCACCAAACAACTACCACCCGCCAGCCCTCTCTCTAACTCACAAATTACCTCCCAGAAAACAAGGACATTACGAAAACCCCAATCAACGAAAAAACAAAATGATGTGGGAGTCCCACATTACTCTTCACGTCAAAAATAAAGAACACAAAATAATAAAGGTTTAAACCTCGATGGAAAGCGTCATATTGCGTGGAAGTATCCACCAAATCCATGCTCTGTCTTAACTGGTACAATATATATGGCTATTTCAAGTGAGAACTCCATCACTGAATCATTCGACACAAAACAAAATGGCAGACTGTCTTCTTTATCATATATAGTCAACTGAACAGAAGCCGGCATCCAAGTATTCGTATCTGCACACACGGGGAAAGAGTGCAGCTGAGAACCCCGCCTGATAAACCCCGCCCATCAACCTATCATGAATTCCCACAGCCTTTACAGAAGACAAACTTCATATGACTACAGCCATGGCTACAGCCATTTTTGAGCAGAACGAGTGGCCCAAAACAACAAACAGAAACGCACCAAATCATGTCGGCACCAGACACACCACTGGTGCCGTGACCCTTGGGGACCGTGAAGTGGGAGCACACGCTTCCCTTCAACGGTTCCACAACAACGCTGGTCGTCACAGGTTTTACGGAGAGACGATCGGTGTGAAGTTTTACCGCTGCGGGGATAGTTTGTTCCACAAGGAGCTTTCTCTTCTCATCTGTCAGTATGTTTTCGGATTCACAAACCAGCGTACCACCCATGAAGTCCGGACGCACATCTCCTACTCTTGTGCAGTACTTGGCCGGATTGTTCATGTCCTCCGTGGACACATTGATGCGGATCGGCGCCCAAGTCTTCTCCCCACCGGAAAGGGTGTACGCCTGCCATCCGCTCTGGTCCTTGTGCGGCACCTCACGCACAACTGCAAGCGGCTGTGCGCCGTCCTTCCTCCTTATCTCGTCGAACATGCATTGGCGCGACTCGGCGGCGAGGCACCCGCTGGCACACCAGAGCAGCAGGGTGGCGTGCAGCAGATAGCGCATCATCATATAATTATTGGTGCTGGCTTGTGGCCTTCGCTTCTTGGCTTGCTGTGCCGCAACGGAGAGAGCGAGTGGAGACAAACAAGGCAGAGAGAGCACAGTGGACGGCGGTGCAAAGAGACCGTGTGTGTGGATTACGCACAGCTCCACGGAGACGGCGGCGCATCCCACCAACCACGACGTCCCCCGCTGTCAGCGACACGCCGGCCGCCCGGCCCCAAACGCCACGGAGGGCCCCCGCTCACTTACAGCAGCGCACTGCGCCGCACCACACCACCCGCCCACAACGCCACACCAACACACGCACGGGCACACATCAGCCCACCGCCAGGGCAGGGACCATTCTCCCTTACCTACACGGAAGAAAGCAACAAAAACAGGCAGACAGAAAACTAACAAACAACAGACACCGTCACCCACGCAGCAACAACTTCACTGCTCCACAGTCCTGCATACAAACTCAGCGCTCAATTCCAAAAAAAGGAAGTCATTTCCATGAAGC